TTTTTTGGGAGCCGATTAGTTAGAACATAGAGGTGTATGTAAAATACATGCTGGTGAAAACTAGAAAAGAAGAGGATCATAAAGCTGGTTTGAGAGAAACATTTGGAACTCTAAGAAGGTATGGAATGAAGCTCAACCCAACTAAATGTGCTTTTGGGGTAAAATCAGGAAAGTTTTTTTATATATGGTCCCAGAGAGGGGAATAGATGTCAATCCCAAAAAGGTACAAGCTGTTTTGGAGATGAGATCTCTTAAGAGTATAAAGGAAGTCCCGGTGTTAACGGAACGAATTGCAGGTTTTAGTCGGTTCATTTCTAAGGTGGTTGAGGAACATCCATTTCTTCAAGACGTTGAAGAAGAGCTCTTGGTTTTCATGGACATAAGAAGCACTGTGAACTTTTAATGAGCTAAAGGTCGTTCTTTCTAATCTACTTTTGTTGACAAAGCCAGTCCAAAGGGAGAATTTACTGTTATACATCTCGATCAGAAAGACAACATTAATCTTAGTTTTATTAAGGGAGGAGAAGAGTATGCAAATGCCCATATATTATGTGAGCAGGATGATACAAATGGGTGCGCTACTCGGAGTCGAGAAAGGAGCTTTCTCAATGGTGGTAACTATAAGAAAATTAATACAATATTTTTTTTACTTATAAAGTGTATGTTCGGATGAACCTGCCATTGGAGGAGACCTTGGGATGATTTGCTCGATCCGAATGAATGGTCAAATGGGAAAACTTTATTCAAGAAAGAACATAGTCTGAGGTTGAAAGCAAATAGCAGGACTTTATGGATGGTTCAATAGAAAAGTGAGGTTCTAGATTCGAAGTTGTTTTGATCTACCCCACAAGAGAGAATTCAGAATTTGCAACCAAGTTGGGTTTTTGGGTCTCCGACAATAAGGCTTAGTACGAGGCCTTGTTGAAGGGACTTTAATTAGTTTGTTACTACAGGAGGATCTCGACACGTTCACGACCACTCAGATACAGTATGTGGTCGGCCAGATGCAATGAGGATATAAAATAAAAGAAGAAAGGATGAAAATACGTGAATGAGTTCCAAAAATTTGTGCAAGAATGTTAGCTCTTTCGAGTTGGTGCAAATACCTATAGGAGAAAATTACATGGCATATCTACTAAATAAAATAGCTCAAAGTCTGGTAGATTGCAAAAGTAGAAATGTGACACTGTTGTACATGAAGAAAAGTGCTATAGAGGTCAAACGATCAAACAGATCAAGGGATTCTTTGAGCAGGACGAATTTTTTACAAGTGGTCATACACATGACCTCATCTAAGGTGTGTCACAGTAGAAGAAAGTCTATATGTGCTGAAGGAGCTTCATAAAGTATTGCGGCGATCTGTTTATTGTGTTTTTGTGTGTTTTTCTATGTGTTTTTGTGTGCTTTCGAGTCGATTCTAGGATTGTTTTAGGGTTGGCCGGTCCATTTTGTCGTTCTCCTTGTTTTTTTTATGCTTTCCTTTTTATTTTATATTTTGGCGTACTTTTCCGTGTTATTCGGTTATTAATTTCAGGGTTATTCCGGAGATCGAGAGAGAGAGAGAGAGTCGAACTATGTTATGAGAGAGTCGAGCCTCATTTAGTGAGTCCGAGCCAAAGTTTCTTTTGCATGATCGCGAGCCCGCCATTGCTTCCTGGAGGGCGAGAGTCCTCCCTACATCACCATCGCGTGCCCGCCGGCGTTTCCTCGAGCTCGAGAGTGCTCATTTCTCACCATTGCACACGGCGCGTGCCCGCCACCATTTCTTCGAGGTCGAGAGTCCTCCCTACATCACCATCGCGTGCCCGCCGGCATTTCCTCGAGGTCGAGAGTGTTCTTTTTCTCTACCATTGCACCCGGCGCGTGCCCGCCGGCGTTTCCTCGAGGTCGAGAGTGTTCCTTTCCTTCACCATTGCACCCGGCGCGTGCCCACCGACGTTTCCTCGAGCTCGAGAGTGCTCATTTCACACCATTGCACCCGGCGCGTGCCCGCCGGCGTTTCCTCTAGCTCGAAAGTGTCTTATTAAATGTGCGTGTTTTTAGTGTGTGTTTGTGGTGTAGCTATTTAAAGACATCTTGCTTTGTATTTTGGGAACAACCCTCATTTCCCAACTTTTAAGTTGGGAATTCCTCTCTATTTTCTCTTTTTCCTTTTTATGCTTTGGTTTGGAGCTTTATGGATCATGTTTTCCGGCGAATTTCCGGCGACGTTGTTTCGAGTAAAGTTTCGAGCTTTTGACTCCGTTTCTCTTCCCAAGTGCGTGTAAGAGTGGGTATTTAGTCTTAAGCCCCATTACTTCGTATATCTTTGTTTGCTTTTTGTGAAAATTGATATTGTGCTTGTCTTGATTGGAGGAAAAGATTGAATCTTTAGATCGAGAATGCTTGACTAAGTGTGCTTAGGAGTTGAATGCTTGCTCGTTTTGTGCTAGAGTTTGGTTTAGCTTCCTAGGGTTTTAGCTAGCATGGCAATGTTCGGTTATTTGCGTGTGTTTGAGCATAGAGACTCCGGCAAACCAAAATCTCTATTTCCCCCTTGATTTCTCTCATCTTGTTGCGTGCTTAGTTAATTGCTTTCAATTTCTCTCATTTCGTAGATTAATCTAGTTAAATTCAAACCCTCAAATTGCGAGTAGAATGTTTAGGACCTTTTCGGTTGTGTGACTTAGACGACTAGGTGGTGAACGAAGCTCCGAAGAGCCTTCCTTTGAGAACGACCCGAGTCGGGTAACTCGGTTACCACATGCCCAAAAATACTATAAACACGATCATAGCAAGGCCATGTCGTTCATAGCTAAGTTATTGAGCATAAGGTACTTTTAGCCTACAATGCGAGTTGATGCAGTTAATATGGTTAAAGAATGGATTCAGTATAAAAAAAACTAGTATTAATACCCATGTACAACATGGGTGTTGAGTTAATGAGTATATGTGCAAAGTTATTTATATCAAATACCAAACCTAACTCCAGAGCAAAAATATTATAAAACCAACATCACGAAACATAAATTTTCGCCATGTCAGCATCCGAAGCGTGATAATCTGCACCTAGGCTCAACACGTTTCGAATTAATATATAGAGAGGGATGGTCCTATTTCACACCAACCGGCCGAAGAGATGACAACTATGAGTGCACCAGTACCCTTTGCTCAAATGAGAAATCATTCGATTGGGTCCTATTTTAGGGATCGAGACAAAGATTTTTTTTTTTATTGTAGTAGTTGACTACTTCATAAAATGAGTGGAAGCTGATCCATTAGATCGAATTACAGATGAAAAGGTCATTCATTTTTTATGGAACGACATTTGTTGCCGTTTTGGAGTTCCAAAAGTGTTGATCTAAGACAATGGAACCCCATTTTGTGGTCCAAAAATTCGAGCGATCTTCAAGAGCTTGGGTTGATGAGATGACTTCAGTATATCCTACAACTCCAAGTTCGATTACTGGTGAGTCCCCGTTTAGCCTAACATATGGGATGATGGCGCTAATACATGTTGAGATCATATTGAGCTCGCAAAGGGCCCTGACCTACGATAGGGAGGATAATGAAGAGTTAGCTCGAGCAGCCCTCGACACTGTGGACGTGCATAGAGAGTAGACAGTTATTCGCGTGGCGACCTACAAACAAAACATAAGGATAGTTCATGACAAAAAAGGTCGAGACTCGGAGGTTCCAAGTGGGCGACCTGGTTTGGAAAATGGTAGATGTCCTAACCATGTTGGTAAGTTCGAGCCAAACTTGAAGCACCGTACGCCGTTATCTAGTGTATACGGCTGGTGCATATGCTTTGAGAGACAATAGGCAAAGTTAATCCCTAAGTCGTGGAGTGTAATGAATTTTAAAAAATATCATGCGTGAATTACTTGTTTCGCGTGATTCTCATATTACTTGTGATCAATGAAAATTATATGAGCTTAACATTTGTTGTTCGATTAATTAAAGGTTTCTTTTTTCCAAGATGGATGAGTTAACCTCAGTAGTAGGATGGCTCATCAAGGATTGGAGTCTCAATATCCAAAATCCTGGCATGATTAAGGCTTTTGAGTTGGCTAGTTGGTCGTGATTTCCTGCCTTAGTGGTGGGTCGATTGTGTGTTTGAGTTTTGATGGCAAAAACCTGACAAGATTAAATCTTTTGAGCTTGTCAGTCACTCGTGATTCCCAACCTCATAGGTAGATCGAGGGATTATTTTTTGAGCCTTGATGGTGAAAAACTGGCATGATTAATACTTTCGACATGCCATTTGCTCGTGATTCCCAATATCAGATGTAGGTTGGCCGAGTGTTGGAGCCTTGATGGCAAAAACCTGGCATGATTAGGCTTTGGAGCATGAAAGTCGCTTGTGATTCCTGACCTCAAAGGTAGTTCAGGCGAGTGTTGGAGCCTTAATGACAACAATCTTGCATGATTAAGGCTTTCAAGCTAGTTAGTCGCTCGTGATTCCCTACTTCAGTGGTAGGTCAAACGGGTGTTGGAGCCTTGATGGAAAAA